TACACCAACATGGTACAAAAGAAGTGCAAGTCACGGTTTCAAATCAATTAACTGCCGATTTGGTTATTAGAAACTTGTAGTACTAGACTACTAGCAACTCAAATTTATAAATCAATACCCTGCATTAGTATTGCTTGCTTCAAGCACATGAAGGTGAAAGCTCCAACTTTCAAAGCAGATAAAACTCATAAAAGTAGTCCAACTCTTGTATCGATCAAAATATTTGTTATTTACTGAAAGTGCATTACTTCATTGAACAACCAAACAAATAAAAACTGGTCAATCTTTTTTTCAAATGATAAACTTTAGATGAGAACTTATGTGTTTTTTTCTTTTTTGATTGGTAAGAGAACTTCTGTTAATAAAGGAGGGGATTTACATCAATGTGTATTAATATAAGTGAAATAAAATTATGTTATGATTTAATGGAATGAATGCACTGTGTTATGATCAAAATACCCTTAGTGCTTTCCGATAAAGAAGATGAAAAATCCATATAACATCAGTGACAACATATCTTAGTATAATCTAATACTACAGACAAAATGGAGAAAAGAGTTCAGCTAGCATGAAAGGCTGCTGTTGTTAGGTTACCTAGGTCTACTCCACCTCACTAACACATTGCAGACGGACTTAAACACAACCAGCATGCCATGGATTAATATATACGAAACCAGATTTGACAAGACATCAATTGTGCTTTACAATGAGTACATCTAAATGATTTCACTCATCAGCATAAGCGAAAGAAGCTGAGATAGCAAGTGAACAATGGGTAAAACAATTCATAAATCACAAAATCAGATGGTGTTTTTGTTACATGCAGACACAAAATTGGTTTGAAGTTGCAGGAAATCAAATCATGACACAACGGATTCTGCTCTGTAGATAACCTTTATAGACAGCGCGATATTTTGGAACATCATTTGTATAAATTTTCCAGAAAACCCCAGAGGATAAAACAGTTGTTTTGAGAACCATTCACTCAATCAACAAAATCAACTACACCTCAATCCAAAATAAGTTAGAATCCGCTGCATGAATACCTATATCCGTTCCGCTCTATTGAACTCAATTTCATTTCAATGCTACATAATTTACCTTAAGGACATATCGCAGATTCTCTAAAACCTAAAGGCTCAGGGAAACCATTGACAATACAAGAAGGCTGAGGGAAAATAAAAGGATCAGTGAGTGACCAAATATGAACCCATAGAAAGTGAAATATGGAAGAATTATCTAAATCTGAAAGTGTAAATGCCAGGAGTGGAGCTAGAAGGGCGGGTACTGGTTGACAGAACCCAACAGCTTTAGTTAAAAACCCTGTATATATTTTTAAAAATTCACTAAATATGTATAAAATTAAATTCAAAACCCCATTACTAACACTCTATGTCACTATCCTAGAATTTAGAACCTATAAAATTCAAATCCTAGCTCGGATTATGTTACTAAATGCCTACATGTCAAATTCATCGCAAAATTCTAAAACTGTAATAAAGGCACCAAAAATGCGTCACAATTATATGAGCAACAAAACTTAGAACTCGAAAGAAAAAAAAATACCAGAAAAAGACAAATCCAGTTTGTCCTCTGAAGAAGAAGCATTTTCACTTAAAAGGCGGTCAATTCGCTCAGCAACAGAAGGTGGAACTCTCAGAATAAATTGTTCTTCCATGATTGCAGATAAATTGAGAGGAACAAAAGAGGCAAACTTTCAGATATATTGTCCTAAAATCAATATAATAAGAATATCAATATATTAGTTAATGACTTATCTAAAAATTAAAATTACAAATTGGTGGAGTGGAATCCGGGAAGCGCGAATTGGCACCGTTAGGGCTTTTTGATTGGACGAACCTGCAGCCTAGAACTGGTATTTTATGTTTGAATACAGGTTGCCTTTGCTGAAGCCCAGAACTGGTGTTTGATGTTGAAGCTCCGAAATGGAGTTCCACCGCCGAAAATGGCGAAAGTTACTCGGAAGGGGCGAGGAGATGGGTTCTGATGGCGGAGGAAGGGGAAATTGAAGAACAGGAGAAAACTCCCTTTTTTCTAGTAAGTCCAATTCGTAAAATACAACAATTACTCCTACGAATTATGAGTCGCATCAATGGCGATGTATGAGTGGAATTTGATAATTGCTAATTATAAGTGTCATTTGGCAATTGCGATTATAAGTCAATTTTCAAATTGCAACTTATAAGTCGCATTACAATTGCGCTATGTGCGTTGTATAATCCGACAATATAAGTATAAGTTCGTTCATTAAATTCCATTATTAATGTGATTTATACTCCCTCGTTTCACTTTTATTTATCAACATTTTTCACGCCCTTTAAAAAATAATAAATAAATATATAATTTATCATAATATTTATATTAATTGATATATATTTTATTAATTTTAAAAAAATAATTTAAAATAAATAATAAATATTATGGGTATAACATAAAATAAAAAATTATCGATATAAATAAAGTGAGGATAGTGTGATTTGACTTGTTTGCTGGCGCTTGAAATTTGGAGCAAAAAGCATACATCTTGGGAAAGAATTCCATATAATATGTCACCGGGCACCAGTTTGAATTGATCAAAACAATTTTAAGAGGATAATTTTCGGTAAACTAATTCACTTTTTTTGAAGCTTGGGTTGGGTTGGTATATTATAGCTTCATTTTAATGTTGGCAAATCGGTGTTTCGATGTAACTTTAATACTAAAAATTAATAATAATATATGAGTGTCGGTTAAATCAACGACAAAGGGCCAAATATATCCATGTACTTTCGAAAATGGTCTAAAAATATCCCTCATTATACTATTGGGTTATCTATACCCCTACAGTCATACTTTTGGTTCAAATATACCCCTCATTTAAATGAAGGGACACGTGTCATCGGCCTGTTGGCCAATTCTAAATATCTCCTAATTAATTAAAAAGTAATTTTCTAAAGCAATTTTTTTAAAAAAAAAAAAAACTGAAAAAAAACTGAATTATTTTTTTACTAAAAACTTTAAAAAATAAAAATATTTTTTTTTCACTTTTTACAAAAAAACTGCTTTAAAAAAACTGAAAAATATTTTCTAAAATAATATTTTTCCAAAAATTGAAAAAAAACTGAAAAGCAATGCTTTTATAAAAACTGAAAAAAACTGAATATTTTTTTTTTACTAAAAAATAAAAAATAATTTTTAAAGCAATTATTTTTATAAAAACTAAAAAAAACTGAAAATTAAATTTTTTGTAAAAACTGAAAAAAAAATATTTTCTTTTTTTCAGTTTTTAGTGAAAATAATTCCAGTTAATTTCAGTTTTTAATTACTTTATAAATTATTTTTCAGTTTTTACAAAAATATTGTTTTGAAAAATATTTTTCAGTTTTTTTAAAGCAGTTTTTTTGTAAAAACTGAAAAAAAAATATTTTCAGTTTTTCAGTTTTTAGTAAAAAAATCACTTTTTCAGTTTTTACAAAACAAAAAAAAATTGCTTTAGAAAATTACTTTTTAATTAATTAGGAGATATTTAGAATTGGCCAACAGGCCGATGACACGTGTCCCTCCGTTTAAATTAGGGGTATATTTGAACCCAAAGTATGATTGCAGGGATATAGATAACCCAATAGTATAACAAGGGGTATTTTTAGACCATTTTCGAAAGTGTAAGGGTATATTTGAACCTTTGCCGTTAAATTAATGATATGAGATGAGTTGAGATAGTTGTAAAGAGAAATAATTTTCATCCACAAGTGAAATACTCCCTCTGCTCCACAATAAGCGACCAATTTATTTTTTTTATTTTGGTTCAAAATAAGTGTCCATTTATATAATCAAGAAAAAATTCAATTTTTTTCCAAAATTACCCCTACGTACGTATCCCTAAAAATTCCTTTACTGCTCACATTAATTATGCTGCAATATTTAATTAAGGGTAGTTTAGTCACACTAACTATTTTTGTCTAGAATTTTATATATCTTTAATGGTTGTACTCAAAGCAAATTGATCACATATTGTGCACCGGAAAGAGTAATTATTTTTTGCCGTGTCATTAATGTGTTCCTTGGAACTATCAAACACAATTTTCCTATTTTTTTTGTGGCACCAAACATGCCAGAAAGGGACGGTTTTCTATGAAAAATGAAATACAAGTGCACATTTTCCATATGCTTTTAGATTTGCTTGATTCATTTGTATTTTTCTGTCAACTTTTTGACGTGGTCCCTGGTCATTTGAGATATTTTAATTATTATTTTTATTATACATGGGGAGAGAAGGAAAAATAGATAGGGGATTATAAAGTGGAAATTGAATTATAAAGTAGAGAATTGAACTCAATCAAGTGCAAGTACAGTTAACCAATCAATGGACTAATAAGATTTTCCTGTCATTTGATACTTGTTTATTTATTAAAAAGAAGAGAAAAACAATGTTAGTAAATCCCATTCCAAATTAGTTGTCATATTTCACTTTTCGAGAGTCAATTTAATTAATATTTAAAATTAAATTAAATTAGTTTAATTTAATATTTTAAAATTAAAATATAAATATTCAAAAACTATTTATATGGGATGGAGGAAGTATTTTTCAAGTATTCAAGACCAGTTTGACTTTTGAGAAGCAAAATATGACAATTATATGGGATGGAGGAAGCATTTTTCTTTTCTTTTTCGAAACAAACAAATTGAGCGTACACTTGGCAGTTGGCAATGATGCCAATTATTTTCTAAAATAAATTCCCCCAAAAATAAGTCAATATATTTTTTTCTGAAAATAAGTCATTTTCTGCATTCAAACGGTATGATTCTTTTTATTAAAAGAAAAAATATGATTTTTTCGCTTATATTTTTCTCCAATAATCTATTGAATAGTAAAACAGAATTTCTTGTTAAGAATAATTTTCGAAAAACATTTTCACCGTATATAATTTCACCTTTTTTTTTCCAAAACAAATGGGACCCAAAATTCTAGTTATAAGGTTTGAATTTCCCTATATTAGCTCGTGTGGTAGGTAAGATATCAGTGAGCTTTCCTCATTCACAGCAAATTAATGGAGTCTCACTCTCTAACCATTCGCGCCAAATTCCCAAACCATTTCCACATTTCATCATCTCTTCCTCGTCTGGCCATTATCAATATACCAAACCCTAAATTTCTCTTCATATTACCTTCTTCTCCGATGCCTCTTCTTACATCTTCACGACGACTTGAAATCCACCGCAGGAGGACCTCTTTTTCACGGCAGTCTTCGAATTCGAGCTCAAAGTTTATCGCACGCGCCGTGGGAAGTGATTCTGACCGCCAATCAAATGTGTCTAGAGAGCTAATCATTTTGAACTCTGCTTTAACTCTGGTGCTTGGGGTTGCGAATCGTGTACTTTACAAACTTGCCCTTGTTCCTATGAAGGAATACCCGTTTTTTCTAGCTCAGGTTACCACTTTTGGGTGAGTTTTATAATTTATTCTTACAATTATAGTGTGATCACGTATATACCTCATTTACCTGTGTGATATGATTTGGTTTATGTACCTTCAAAATTAGAGTTCTTTCCAGAACTACTTTAGAGGGTCTTTGGGTAAGCTTATAAGCTGGTCGCTTATAATCACTTTTATGTTTATATTTCAAAGATCAGTTTTAACGCTGAAAAGTGTTTTTCAATATTAACCCTTATTAGCTACTTTCAATCAGCTAACCCAAACGGGCTCTTAATATTTTCTCCAATTTAAAAAGAACAGCACTTAGTATTTGAAGAGTGTGATTATTTTTTTCTTCCTTTGACTTCAATTTTTTCATTCATTTTATAAAATTAATGATAAAAGATTGTGACGTATAATATTTCTTTTTCTGAATCTGTAAATTTTATTTTTAAACCTATACTTGATTTGGGATAAAAAAATATAACTTTATACTGGATTCTTTAAGAGTATATTGTAGACTTGCCTAGAGGTATTTTTCAGCCTAGACTTCAACGTGGCTATGAGTATTGTGAAGAAAATGCCAGAAGTTGTAAGTTGTATGAATCTCTTGGTTTGACTTCGAAATTGTACTTCCACTTAATGACTTGTATTATGTATTTATGAAATGTATGCCTAGTTACCTTAGGTTAAATTAAATTGCAATTACATCGTAGATATAAATCGTTGATGGTACAAGCTTTCTTTTAACTATAGCATAGTGTCCACGGTAGCTAGTCAAGAAATATAATCAGTAAATTTGCAATTACTACATTTTGTCCCTAAATGACCTTGCAGAGATCTCCATAATCAGCTCCCCCAACAATGAAAATAACGTCTTTAGGGCAAAAAGTTCCACTTTGAAGTACCTTAAGAACAATGGAGAATACTCCGTTTGTTACCATTTATAGAGAGGTATTTGGCAGGGTGCGGAGTTTAAGAGGTTAATTTGACCTATATATCATATCAGTGATGGTAGAAGAAAAACATCACAGTAATGGTTGAAGGATAGTTTTATAGAGAAAACATTGAAATTTTGATTGGATGCGTGAATTTCTTAATTCTTGAAAGTTGTGACAGCTTTTTAGAAGAGGAACTATGACAAATATTCTGGAACTTTTCAAATGGAGAAGAGTGTCAGATAAATTGGAACGGAGTAACACTAACATCTTTAGTCCTACGTTTCACTTTGAAAAATCATTTTAAGACCAAAGAAGGAAGAGGATGAGGTGACATGTAATAAGTTTGTTACCTTTTACGTGTAAAAAACTGTTCCAACCTTAGCTTGTGAGTAGCGACACTATTTGCTTGACCCGTTTGATTTAGCAATTGATCACCTATTGCATTTTCGAAGCCCAAAATTACAACTGGACATTGTTCCTAGTAAACTTCTTCTGCATTGAAGATGCTGGGATTGGAATGTTGAATAACTACTGTAATAGCGGTTATATCTCTCGATCATTGATTGCTAGAGACCAACTTTCCATGCAGTTGCACAAGTGCAAATACATGGCTCTATGCCATCATGTCTCATATTCTAGCATGTCAGAATAATGTAAGTTATCAACAGGTTTGGACCTACCTTAGATGGGTAGGCAAATAAATGACAGGTGAATATTTGAGTCTTCAGGGGCAGCATTTGCCTACATTCAAGTCGATGACTAGCTGAGAAGATGATTTAATTAAAACACTAAAATATGTTTGTCAAAACAGGTTCTGAGAAACATGTAACTTTGACTTTTATTCGGAAATGCCATGATTTAATTGAGCTTTTTGATCCTGGTTAATTGCTATTTGTTATACTATGTAGAGGCTGATAGTTAATGTGGTTCATTAACTTCAGGTACTTGACTATTTACTTATCCATATTGTATGCGAGATATCGTGCTGGTATTGTAACTAACGAGATGGTGGCCTATCCAAAATCACGCTTTTTGCTCATTGGTTTCCTTGAAGCCCTGGGGGTTATTTCTGGAATGTATGCTGGAGGTATTACGTTGTACTTAGGAATGTTCTAGGATAATAAATTAACTGTTGCCCCTCCCTGTCTATATTAATGTTCTGCCTGCTTTGGGAAAAACATTTAGTTTAGATCCTTTATGTGTTCTGCTTTCTTACTCTAAACTCTCGTCTTCCCACAAATGTTAGACTTTTCTCATTTTTTTTGCTGCTTGATATGAACCTGAAAAACAATAGTAAGCTCCACGGAGAAATGAATATGAATGATTCAATCAGTTATGAAGTCATTTCTGATGGCTTGCTTTTTGGTTTTTTACAGCAATGCTTCCTGGACCAGCCATACCGATACTTAACCAGGTAATGTTAACAATAGTAGTTTCCCTTTATTGCCAAAAAACACATGAGTGGTTCCCAATTTATCTTTCCATTTACAGTATATTTCCTAGAGGGTTGACAGTGGGACACCCTTTTCTGGTGGAATGACACATTCAATGCATCCTTGATTTTCCTTTAGCATCCACAAAATGCTATTAGAACTTATTACTCCATTATAGTAGCTGTTGGATGAGGATTAAATGCATGCCCAGTGACTTGGATTAAATGTATAGATAGTTAAAAATTAGCATTTGACTTGAATATAGCATTTAAGCTGTCTTGAATATGTATTAGGCTCCTCCACTTCAAGAGCTTTTCTTGAAAAACACCAGAACTCTGGATGGAATATCAGTTCAACATTTCATATGCACTATTTAATCAATTAACTACACCTCAATATCAAAGAAGTCGTGAAATACCTTTAAACAAAAAGTCCCAAAGGAAAAGGAAAAATAACTTATATAAACATAATGGTTTATCCATATAGGTCACGTATTTGGGAGCATTTTGTTAGAGATAAGTAACTGTTATCAGCATTTATTGTTTAATGAAGCAAGCTATTGTCTTAGTAAACTGAGAATTTTGTATTACCCAGAAGATGACCCAGACTGTTAAATCTTTTTCTTTGTTTCCTTGTAACTTGCATCAGATATATGTATTTTGCAGTCCTCCCCCCTC